ATTATGCCACTCTAGTGTACTACGAGAGGTTCGAAGGAATATCCCAGGACCGTTTTTAGTGTTGTGCGGGGCCTGGAAATCCTACCTTGAACAGTTGTACGCCAATGACGGCGAACACGAACTGCAGGAGGCTGGTGACGAGGACTATGTTTCCGATAGTCTTTACCGCTACGATGACGCACTGTACTACGTGCTGGGTTCAACATTAATCATAATGTAGATCCGCTCTTTTACAAACGGGATTACGTGTGCCGACTAATTTATTTACGTCGGTTACCTCTTGTTATTTTTTATTATTACTTCTTTTCTTTTTCTTTGCTTTTCGTTTATTTTTTTTTTTTTTTTTTTTCATTTCTTTTCTTTTCGTTTCTTTTCTTTTATCTTATTTTCTATTCTTTTCACACTTCGTTTCTTTTCTTTTATCTCTTACCGTCTTTTTCGTACTTTTCTTACATTTCTTACGTCGTTTATTTTTTTTTTTTTTTTTTCCGGTTCGATTCGTCGTTCCGAGTCGCACGGGAAACTTACAGAGCAAGAAAGAGTCACGAGTCGAGGAACTTGTTTTAAGAACGATAATCTGGGAATTCTCTGCAACAGGTTTCCTGTGCGACGCGAAAATTCAAATGCCTCAGATCGGCATTGCCGCGCCGACGATGAAAAGCAATCGCGAACAGTCTACCGCCGAAATTGAACGGGTCAGTTTAGCTAGCATTTTTAGAAAGATTTACTCTCGAATTGTCATCTAAACCGGAAACTACAAGTTACTTTACTTCAAGTTACTTCGGGGCGTGTGCTACATCGTGGGGCCGATTTAGCAAATACGCTAACTGTTCGTGGATAATAAAGCGAAGAAAGATACCTTTAATCCCTTGGCACGATTGATGGCGCGCAGAGGCCTCAACACGCGTAACACACGGAGGACCTTCACGACGGAAAACGCGCCGGAACTGAAAGAACAACAACGAGATGTTTCTCTCGATCCAAGCACCGTCTGAACGGCCGATAAATTTGAACAGGTGTTACCTGAAAGACATGGAGATGAGGGAGGAGCAGACGACCAAAAGGTCGAGCAAATTGAACGCCGACCGACAGAACGCACCGTCGTGTATGATAAAACCGTAGGAGATCATCTTCAGGCAGATCTCGATCGTAAATACCGTGGTGAAAAGATAATCGAAATTCAGTAAAATCT